ATATATATATATATATATATATATATATATATATATATATATATATATATATATTCGGGTGGGGCATAAAACACCTAAGTCAATAAAAAAAATACCATAATAGTTTTTCTGGTTCCTTTTGATATCTGTATTAAAAATATATATATATTTTTTTTTATGGGTTCTCCTATGTTTTTTTCAAGTGACTTTAGTACAGCCTCTGCTGGTTTAAGACATTATTCAAAATGTTGTATCATTTCATTAATGGCTTTTAGATCTAAAGAAGGTGCTATGGTAGGATTAGGGCTTTAATAAACCATGGAACATAAAATAGTGCTGTAAATGAACCAATTTAATGAATCAGCTTTCCCTCTTGTAATGATATTATATCAGGACATAAGTTACTGAATTGTGGCTGTAGAATATTGTATGTTAAATAATAAACGCCCTGTGCCATAAACCTGGCATGATGTGAAGCCATTGGAAATCTAAAGTGAAAATCTTTTACTTTGCCAACTAACCAAATAACTGCCTACTGAATAAAATACTTGTAGTCATTTCTCGGAAATATATCATTATCGAGGCAATTTTGAAGGAATGTTAATGATTCAGAAGCCTAAAATAAAAAATAAAGAAAGTTTATTATTAAAACTTATAATCAAACAGATTAATCTAATTAAGACAATCGAACCAACCTGCTTTTCCAAAAAAGATTTTTTTTTCTGAGTCAAATCTTTTTAGGTTATCATAATTTATCTTCTTTTCAAGAATCGATTTCCAATTACACTTTAGCCTTTCAAATAACTTAGTCTTTGGTCCACTTGTTTTACCTCCAGTAAGAACACTTGAAAAGTGCTAAAATACATTTATTTTAAATCACTTAACTAAATATTAATATTAAGGTGAATCATTATTAAATTCATCAAGAAATATTAAATAAATAAATAAATATAAAAATACTTTATGACTTCTTTTCAATATTTACCTTTATATGTAATTCGTAGACATGATGACGACAAGTCATCCAAATCAAAGCTTTTCCTCTCCACTGCTCAATAAGAGTACAGACTCCTTTTAGCCAACCAGTATTTATGACTGTGGTGTCAAAGGACAGACAATCAACATAGTCAAATAGCTTCCAGTCTTGTAAAGTTTTTTTGATTGCTTTCCCAAGAGACTCAGCAGTGCCATCTTTCACAATTAAAATACCCAAAAGTTGGAATTCTGAAAGATCTGGTGAACTGATTAGCACAACTAATCTTTCAACTTTTTCTTTACCAATTTCTCCAATTCTACCATAATTATGGAGTCAAAATGCACGGTAAGACTTTTACCCTTAGCCAATATAATAAAGTTGTCTTTAATTTTACAGGCAGTTGCACTTATACTTGATTTTTTCTGCCTCAAAATACTTCGTTTAGAAATAGAAAAATCATCTGATGTTCTAGAACTGTTATTTATAAGAGAAGCAAGAGTTGCACTCAGTGCAGTCGAACTTATTCCATATCGTGATGCTGTTGGAGCTAAATCTTTTCCTATATTTTTAGGAACTATAAGAGGAACAGCATTATATTTTTTAATTTTTATAGAAGGCTGTAGATACTGTTCATCTTGGTCATTATCTAAAGTATTTAAATTTTTCATTGTGTCATCAAATTTCTCAGTAACCAACTCTTTCTGTTTTCTTATGGATTCTTTTATACTTTGATTTTTTTTTTCCATTTCTCTTTTTCTTTTGTTTTTTACAATATTTTGTGAAATTAAATCTTTACCCAACATTTTCTGAACACGCGCTCCTTTCTGGTTGTTAAGAAAATCTACATCCTCTCTTCTAGTTTTTAAATCTTTAGTTTTATCTTTCATAATAGTATGTTCACAATTGTTTTGACTTACATCGAATACTTCCTCTAGCATTCTTGAAAAAGTTTCTCTTTTTAAAACTAAATTTTTACTTAAACGGTTCCTGTGTTTGTTTAAATCTTTTCTCTTCTTTTCTAAGTCAACAATCTTGTCTCTAAAACAAAAGTAAAATAATGCATTAAAACTGTTTTAATTTATTATAAATATATAAAAAGTTATGACTTTATAGTTGTTACTTGTATAATATCAATTTTAAACTGGATAAAACTAAAAATTAAAAAGCATTTTAATACAATAAAAACCTGATATGCTTGTCAGTATTAACAAAAGGAATTCCTGCTTTTTGCCAAATTTTCTTCACCTCGTAAAGGACACATGGTAAACATTTTTGGAGACAACCACCTATTTCAGCACATTGTGCAGTAAAGAAATCACCAAGTGGACATGAAGCTATACTAACTGATGAAATGTTTGGAAAATCAGCTCTTAGCATAAGATCTCTGTAATGGTAATATTGCAATACAGTTCTTTTAGTTGGCAATTGTGTGATAGGTATTGTTCCGATTCTTTTTCCAACAAGAAAAACCTCACGATGAGATTTTTTACCATAACCATTGCTTGTTGACATTGTTTTTATTTACACTTAAATGAAAATTTTAAAAATTACGGATATTTTTTAACTGAACTTCTCCCCCCTAACTCCCAAATGTAGACAGCATGTCTTTAAATGGGTAGGGCTGACCATTTCATTTCATTTTTTGCAATAAAACAAAATATAATCTTAAATTAGATCTATCAGGCTACAAAAATAACCTTAAAGATATCTTTGAAATATTTGTGACCCAGCCCCCCTCATTATTTACAAAAAGTAGAAATTTTCAAAATTTCGGACTGCTGGGACCGACCATAGGAGTACCCATAAAAAAAATATATATATATTTTTAATACAGATATCAAAAGAAACCAGAAAAGCTATTATGGTATTTTTTTTATTGACTTCCCAGCGGGCACGGCAACGTCCATATGACGTCGAAAGGACGTCTTTTTAGGACGTCCGGAACTGGTTCTAAATGGCAACGCCAGATGACGTCTTTTTAAGACGTAATTAGGACGTCATTTTAGGACGGAATAAAGACGTGTGTTTAGACGTCTAAAATACGTGAATTTAGGACGTTCAGAACTAGTGCTAAATGGAAACGCCAAATGACGTCTTTAAATAACCTAATTTAGACGTTCTCATTTCGACGTCTAAAATACGTGTTTTTACATGGCTTTACTTAAACGTAAGGTTCAAGTATATGCTTTCACAGAACTTCTTGAGAATAAAAAAAAAATAATAAATCATTTAAAATTTTTAATAATATAATTGTGCTAAGTTTTAAAAATTACAATTTTGTAAACTTCTTTTTCCGCTTGTTAATTTCCAAGAATCGAATGTTGACGTCATTCACCTTCTTTTCGATAAGATGCACTCTTTAAAATATTGCCACTAGCATTTTAAAGTTTTTTTTTTGCTGTAGGAATCAGGAAAGCAGTCTTAGCCCTAAAAAAATATTGTCAAGATAAGTATGTAAAAATAAAGGGGAAATAACAACACACACACACACGCACGCACGCACGAACGCACACAATATATAATTATTATTTTATAAACATAACATCAAACATAAAAAAATACGAATTTCTCAACACTAAATCAATTTTTTTAAACAAATTTTTGACTGGATTGTTGTGACCAGCTTATATATTTATGTATATTAAGCATGTAATATAATTGCGGTATTAAAAATGCTCTTCTTATAGTAAAATTATACTTACTTTGAAAGCATGCCCTTCTCAGATGCACTGCATGATGAGCCACCAACATTTAATAACTTCTATTTCTAAATTCAAAAGATGACACTAGTGTAATTGATATGGGACAATTTAGTGTAAGATATATTGGGCATAGAAGCAATACATTAGTGTTTTAATCAATTCAAAAATTTTGTGTAAATTATGTTTATTTGTAAAGTGAGCATTATGTATATAATTACAGATCAAAATTTTTTATGTAATTTATGATAGTAATTTACCCTTAAAAAAAAAACTAAACATTCAACCATAATAAAAAATATACTACTTTTTCCAACATTTGTATCAAGAAATGGTTGATCACTTTCAAGAAACTTGGCGATGGAATCACACTAGTAAAGATCAAAACTATTCTCAACTTTTTTTGGCTATAGTTCATTTTATGTAATGGTAATGTAGTATAGTTTATTTTATGTAATATACCTAATGAATTTTTATTAGTAACAACTTCTTAATTTATTCAGCTCCTCCAAAATTTGAAAGTCTTTGATTCAAAACTTTGCTTTTCCCAAAAAAAAGTTAAAGAAAATATATGAAGTCTCTTATATAACTAAAATTTTAAAATGATAAAAGAGAAAAATTATTTACATCTGTCTTTTTAAGAATACTTTAAGAAAATTAGATAATAAAAGAGTAGAATAAGTCACTAAAAAATGTCTAATAAAAAAAATTATACAAGTCATAACAGTTATATAAGAGACAGATGGGTAGAAAATTTCCTTTAGAGTAAAGGAAATTTTCTACCCTCCTGTCTCCTATATAACTGTTACGACTGGTTTAATTTTTTCAATAATATATAGTATATACATAGTATAGCATATACTCAGTTTTAAACCGTTTCTTCCATTATCTGTAAAAATTTCATTACCTGTATCAACATTACCCCAATTTTCAAGTAATTGATAACAAAAATAAAAATGAGCTAGAACGTGTCTATTTGTCGTTGTAAAAAGACTTCTTTTATAACTGAAAAAAAAATTATAAAAATGCGTTACTTAAAAATTTTAGGAAGTTTTAGCGCTTGCGTGATTTAACTGATTTTTTTTTTATTTAAAAAAGCATTCTGGATATTTTTTGAACGAAAAAATTATTGGACGCGAAAAAGACGTTCAAAAGACGTTTAGATTTTTAATTGGACGGACGGACGCGATTTGAACGTCCTAAGGACGTCTTTTTTACGTCCCGTGCCCACTGGGTTAGGTGTTTTATGCCCCACCCTAATATATATATATATATATATAGCCCTTCATGATCTTATCATGAAGCCCTGTAAAGGGCTTCATGATAAGATCATGAGGATCTTATCATGAAGCCCTTTACAATGCTTTTTAGTATCGAGTATAATATAATATAAATACGTAATATTATAATGAAGTTATAAAAATTCGTAAAATAACAAAGATAATATGAAGTTTAACAAAACACAGCAATAAAAAGTAATAAAATACAAACCATTAAATACATAAGTTTGCAAAGAACTCTTGGAAATATTCGTAATTAGTAAAACATAATACAATAAACTATAATATATCAGCAATAAATTGATAAAAACTCAAAAATAGATAAAGATGTTTTCAATTGAAAAGATAATTTCTTTAATTTTGGTTTTGAATGAGGAGTAGTTTAGTTTGATTGAAAAGTCAAAATTAGGTAAAACTATTTTGTTCCAAAGAAGAGGTCCACGATAGGGCAAACAAAATTCGTCGTATTTAGTTTTCCAAAAAGGAGCATTAAGATTGTTGTCAATTTATAAATCATATTTGCTTTTCGGTTTTAAAGAATAAAGGTATTGAAACACCTGTGGAGATAAATTTTCTTTACACTTGAACATAAAGCATAAAATATTAAAAATATTAAGTTGATAAACATTTAAAGCTTTCATATCTTTAAGAAGTGGCGCAGAGTGAATAAGACGATTTTTAAAATTAATTGCGCGAGCTGCGTGTTTCTGATGATTAAAAAGAGTTTTAAGTTTTGTCTTTTGAGTGCTTCCCCATATAATATTTGCATAGTTTATATGACAGTGAACAAATGAATAGTACAGTTGAGTCAGCTGCCATTTATTTAGTATGTTTCTAGCTTTACAAAGAATACCGATGCATTTGGAAACTCTAGAAGAGATAATGTTAATGTGATGTTTCCAAGTTAAATTTTCATCAATATAGATTCCTAGAAACTTTGTTACTTTTTCTCTTTTTATCATTACATTGTCAATATATAGTTCAGGTAACAAATGTGGTATTCTATGTTTTTAATAGAGTGGATAAAAAAGTGTCCATTTAGTTTTAGCTGTGTTGAGAGATAACCTATTTATTTTGAACCAATCAGAAACTTTTTTTAATTCATTTGTCATGTTGTTGAAAAGAATATTAATATTTTCATGAGATAGAAATAAATTTGTGTCGTCTGCAAAGATTATTTTTGTTAGGCTTGAAGTTTTATGAAGATCATTTAGATATATCATAAAGAGAAGAGGTCCAAGTATGGAGCCTTGTGGAACACCACACGTTACATTCATTAACACTTGAGACGAGGATTCTTTATTATAAACATATTGCTTACGATTTGTAAGATAGCTTTTTAACCAATTGAGGGTGTTATCTTTTATTCCATATAATAATAATTTTTTTATTAGAATTTGATGGTTGACGGTATCAAAAGCTTTCGATAAGTAAATAAATACTCCAAATGTGAAATGAGATTTTTTAAAAGATTCTGAGATGTCGCGCGTAAGTTGGAGAATAGCGTGTTCTGTTGAATTGTTTTTTTTTAAACCAAATTGGTTTTCGTATAATATTTAATTATTAATTAGATGGTCGTAAATTCGATTGAACATTATTTTTTCTAGTATTTTTGAAAAGGCTGAAAGAACTGAAATAGGGCGATAATTATTTATGTTTGTACGATCTCCTGTCTTGAAGACAGGAAATACTTTAGCTATTATTAGACAGTCTGGAAACATTCCTTGACTGATGGATGCTCTAAAGATTTTAAAAATAATGTGTTTTATAACATCACAAAAGTCTATTATAATATTCACAGTAGTATCATCATACCCAGTTGTTTTATTTCTTTTTAATGAACTAAAGGCAATTTCAAATTCATCATAAGTTAGCTCAGTAAAGTGAAAACTTGATAAAGTTGATGTTTGGAATTCAGCTGATTTATCGTCGGTATACGGAATACTGTTTGCTAGTTTAGTTCCAATTGTAAAAAATTTGTTAAATTTAGCTGCAATATAGTTTGAGTCGTTAATTAGTTTGTTGTCAATTTTTATTTCATGTTGTCAATTTTTATTTCATGAGAATTTGTATTTGTTTTAAGTTTTCCTGTAATTTCTTTCATTATTTTCCAGATTTGTTTCGAATTATTTTTATGTTTATTGATCAAGTAGGAGTAGTATTTTTTTTTTGCATTTTTGCGAAGTTTTTCATATAAGTTTTTATAGGTGATATAGTTATTTTTATGTTTTACTGATTTTGATTTTAAATATTTAATATATAGCTTTTTTTTATTTTCGAGGATTTTTTAAGACCTTTTGTAATCCAGGGACATGATGTCTTTTGTTTTTGCAACTGTTTCACACATAGGAAAATTTGTATCATAGACTTTATAAAATGTTTTAAAAAAAGTGTTGTAAATTGTGTTTATATTATTATTAAAGTTTAAATGTTCCCAATTTATTAGCAACAAATGTTCTTTGAAGGAGTTTAAATTAATGTTGTTGAACAACCTTTTTTTTATGGTGACACTTTTTTGCATTTCTTTTTTAAAGTCTAGATTTACTGAAAAAAATATAGGAAAATG